ACATTTCGGTTTAAAATATCCTTTTTTTTTATTGATCTTATGTAATATTCTAATTTTCTGAGACACTGAATTTTGGGTTTTCATTATCTGTAAGCCATAATCATCAAAATTTCAAGAAATAAAGGCTTGAAATATTTCACTCTGTGTAATGAATCTATATAATATATGGGTTTCACTTTCTGAAATGAGTGACAAAAAATATTGACCTTTTTCATGATATTCAAATTTTTTGAGATGTACCTGTATTTTAAACAAATGCTGTTCTTTTGAATTTTTTGGAATTCATTAAAAAATGTATCACCGTTTCCACAAAAATATTAAGCAGCATAACTGTTTTCATCACTGATAATAAGAGATGTTTCTTGAGCACCGATTCAGCATGTTAGAATGATTTCTGAAGGATCATGTGACACTGAACTATGAGTCTGTCTAAGATACATTGAATGATTATCATCTTTTCTTTACCTACAGAAAATTCCAGAGCATAGTGTAATCATGCTCCATGCTTGTGCTCATAACCCCACTGGTGTCGACCCGCGACCAGAGCAGTGGAAGGAGCTCTCGGCTGTCATCAAGGTGCGTGTGTCTGTTGCTGTGATTTTGTTTGTATCCTTCATACCACCTTCTACATTTCACATAGGCGTTATTTTTAAAGCACAGCAAAAATGATGTTCAGTTGAATTCCTTGAATGAAAAGATACTCCAGACCGTTGACCTGATGTTGCTTGACTATCTTGTTATCCATTCTCTCTACAGAAGAGGAAACTTCTAGTTTTCTTCGACATGGCCTACCAGGGCTTTGCTAGTGGAGATATTGATCGCGATGCCTGGGCTGTGAGATACTTCATTGAGCAGGGCCACAATGTCCTGCTGTCTCAGTCCTTCGCCAAGAACATGGGTCTCTATGGTGAGTATATTGTGTGTCAGAGGCTGCCTTTACACTGTAAACCATTTCCTTTTATTCTTTCCTACCAATATCCAGCTCAGATTGGATCTTCATGTATGTGTGTAAATTGCAAAACAACAACAACAATTTTTGCATCTATTACAATTTCACTCATATGTATCTGATATCTGGTCATCTGATCTATGAAGTATTCTGTTGTCCTCTTTATTTTTAATTTTTGGTCTGGTGAGTTTTTTTTTTTTTTTTTTTACTTTTAATTTTAAAAATACTTTTAGAAATGTAAGTTGTTGGTTTTTTTTTTCAGTTAAAAATGAATTTAGAAAAAAGATCCATATACTGCACACTGGATTATTAATATAACATCAGTGTAATTGCTATCAAAGATACAGAGTGTAACTCTTTGAAACACTTAACCAGTCAATAAAGTTTAGCACGGTGTGTCCCTTAAATGCATGCCAGAGGTCAGAAAATCATCTGTTCTTTAGGCTGGACAGACACAGCTTGTCCTAATAGCAAAAACGTATAATGACAATTTAGGCCAGAGAATAAAACAAAAAATGTCCAAAGAAAATAAGTCCATGAGCAAAAAGCAATACATACCTTACATACACTACCATTTAGAAGTGTGGGGTCAGTAGGAAGTTTTTATGTTTTGAAAGAAATCAGTAATATTGTAAAATATTATTGCAATTTAACATTTTGTATTTTATTAATCAAAGTATGATTTTATTTATTAAAATTAGGGATGCACCGATACCGATACTGGTATCGGGCCCGATACTGGTCTCCTGTACTCGTACTCGTTAAAATGCCCCGATACCAAACGCCGATACCACACAGCACGTGATAAGCGCCATAGT